AGACCCTTAGCAAAAGGAGCAAAGCAGGAGATGTCATACTCCCAGATTTCAAATTCTTTCACACAGTTATAGTGATAAAAACGGCATAGTACTAGCACAAAAGCAAACATGCAGGTCACTATAAATGGAACAAAATACAGGATGCATTAAGAACCCTTGTCACATTCAACCGTCTAATCTTGACAAAGGGGTCACAAACATGCTGGACAAAAGATAGCCCATTTAACAATTGTGCTGGGAAAACTGGTTAACCACATGCGGAGGAATGCAGCTAGACCTGTGTCTCTCATCTTGTGCTCAAATTAAAATGCATAAACAACCTAGATATTAAAAGAAAAGCGCAAAAGCACCAAATCTGGTGGACGATGTTAGGTAAAGATGCAGACACAGGGGAGGGTTTTCTGGACAGATCCCGATTGCACAAGCAACAACACCAAGGATTAATGAATGGGATCATATCATTGAAAAGCTTCTGTGTGGCAAGGGAAACAACCAACAGAATGAAGAGGCAACTTTGAGAATAGGGAAAAAAGTTCTCCCAGCTGTTTGTCAGACAGAGGACTAATAGACACGGTACATAAAGAAGTCAAAAAATGTAGACTCCTCAAATAAACAATAAAATTAAAAAATGGTAAAGTGAAAGGAGACATTTCTCAGAAAAAGTTGCGGTAACTCATAAGTCAATGAAAAATATGTTCAATAGCTTTGTCTATAAGAGAAATGAAAACTGAAGCAACACCCTGGTTCCATCTTATTCCAGCAAGAATGGTCACCATCACCCAAATAACAAATGTTGAGAAGGTTATGTGGAAAAAGGACCTCTCTACAATGTTGACAGGAGTATAGTGCAATCATTAAGGAAGGTCTAATCATCCAATCTAATAATAAGCATTTCATGCCTCCCAGCTGTGCTTCTTCTGGGTGTCTTTACATTGCACACACCACTGTAGTGACACACGCATGCTCTTATCAACAGCAACACAACTGATGGTAGCTGACGTTCACACCTGTCCACAATGAATAAAACGTGGCTTCTGTACACCACAGAGTACTCATTCAGCCACAAAGAAGAACCAAGAAGAGTCATTTGTAGAAAAACGGATCCACCTTGGGGCCCTAGAGTTAAGCCAACTAAAGCAGATGCAGAGGCTAAATATTGCATGGCTTTTGTATGGAAAATGAAAAGCATAAATAATTTAGACAGCAAAATGAAATATAGATGATAGGGAATAAGGAGGTACCTGTCTGCACATGCAAATGGGGTCTAAGGATGGCAGGAGAGAGGAGGAAGGAGAGAGAAAAAGAAAGTGAAAAGGGCTAAGTTCTAATGTGTATACCAACACTCCATGACAGACATATTCAATATATATTGCTAACAAGAATCTTTAAAGCCCTCCAAAATATAAAGTGTTTTAAAAATGAAAAATATGCACAATAAAAAGTTTTGAGCTCAAATCTCAATATGTTTACTGTTTTCTAGTTGTTTATAGTTGTTGTGTTAATACATTTGACCATTCTTGGTTTTATTTATTTATTTTCCTGTATTTTAGAGAACGGTCTACAGGGTGTTCAGGGTCTCACTACTAGATCAGACTCATAGTGATTCTCCTGTTTACAGCCTCCCAAGAGCTGGAATTACAAGCACGCACCACCACGCCCAGTCTTAATTGCTGTCTCAGCACGCTGCGAGGGTGGAACTAGCTCGACAGGTCCAGGGATTGAACTCCTGGCCCTTGCGCCTGCTTGCAGGTGCTTTAATCTGCTGAGCTATTTGGCCTGTCCTTCCAAAATATAGAGTGTTTTAAAATGAACAATATGCACAATAACAAAATTTTGAGCTCAAATATCAATGTTTGTTTATAGTTGTTATATTAATACAATTTGACCATTCTTGATTTTAATTTATTTATGTATTTTTTTCATTTTATGTATTTGGCACAGGGTCTCACTACGTGGCTCAGACTCATAGTGATCCTCCTGTTTTCAGCCTGCCCAGCGCTGGGATAACAGGCTGTGCCACCACGCCCAGACTCACTGACTCAGGGCGCCTGGGGTCGGGGCTTGCGCTGCATGCGGGACCAGGGATCGAACCCTAGCCCCTGCGTTTGCTGAAGCAGGCGCTTAGGCCGTTGAGCTATCTCGCGGGCTTTCCATTTTTGAATTTAAAAAGAGAATCCTGACATTTTTGTTTGGCATGTATACACTTTCAGAGCAGGCACACATCATGCTTTGGATAGGATATGCCCCCAAACGGCTTACGGTGTTGAAGCCCGATTGCTGACGGCCTTTGTAATGCGCTTGGATCTCAAGGGCTCTGACGTCATCAGTGGTTGATCCACCGATGAGGTCATCATGTATGGGTGCAGACAGCAGCAGACAGCCTTGAGAGAAGGGAGCCTCACTGAGACTCGACCTTGGTCGCTGTGTTTGGCCACTGTTTCCCTCTTCTGACTGTCTCTGCTTCTCACCCGTTTTCTCTGCCATGACACCATTCTAATGCAGTAGGTCTGACTTACAGTGAAGGGAACCCTCTGAAAACATGAGTCAAAATAAATATTTCTGGGGCCGGCTAAATAGCTCGGCGGATTAAAGGGTCTGCAAACAGGCGCAGGGGCCAGGGGTTCTATCCCCAGGCCTGCCTTGCCGGCGTGGCCCCCAAAGTGCACTGAGATGGCTATTGAGACTGGGCGTGGTGGTGCGCGCCTGTAATCCCATCTCTTGGGAGGCTGTAAACAGGAGAATCACTATGAGTCTGACCTAGTAGTGAGACCCTGAACACCCTTCAGAGCCTTCCCTAAAATACAAAATCAATCAATCAATCAATATTTCTTTCTTGAAATTTTTCCTTCTGCTTGGAGACTATTCACCGATAGTACTTGTGGCTTCATGATTTATCCTAAGATAATGCATGAATTACAGTCCTAACCTTCTCCCCACCATCTTCTAGAAAACATCCAGCTTTTGCTACTATCTTATATCACACTAACATATTGACATTCTTTGAAAACAAAGACATCAATCCTTTTATAGCATTTTCTTAGTGGTATTTCTGCTAACAAAATTTAATAATTCTTGACTGTTGAAAATTGAATGCTGGCAGGGGGCTGTACTGTTTTTTTCTTCTAGACAAGAAATGTAGGGTTTTTTCAGGTATTTGCACAAGGCAATAAAAATTGACTAACACAGAATATTCATTGCAGGTTAAATGATTAAATCATATAATGCCTCTTTAAAAATAAGTGATAGTCCATAAGCACTTATGAAGGCCGAAATACAAACAAATGAGTTTACTAATTTATATCAACCATCTTTGAGTTCAAATGAATCACCCTAACAGGTCACTTTCCTTATTTCATAGTCAATTCTTTATTTGTTGTAACTCAAGTTGCTGCAGATTCTTAAGCAAAGCAAAAGTAAGCTAAACCCTTCTTGTTAGGTGCAGGAGAAATATCTTCCTATTCATACAGTAGCAGAGGAAACGGCTGGCTCAAATCTCCTTTTTAAAACATGGCTATGCAGCTAAGGATAAGAACAGGAGAAATAACAGCTGTCACGAAGGACTAGGAACATTGACTTGGAAACTAGAGACACATGAAGTTATAAGTTGTTCGAAGTTTACATACAATGTTTACTTCCTATAACATCTAAGTAAAGAGGGCATTATTTTATTTCATTTTATGAGTGAAGAAATTAAGACATGGCTTCGTACTGGGATTGGCTTGATGAGAATTTTAGACTTTTCGATTTTTCTGTGGGAAACAGTAAGGAAATGATGCAAAAGATTTTTGGTTACAAATTCATAGCCTTTTAAGCTTAACAAATTTTACTTGATATTTTGGTGTAGGAAGTGGCTTGTATTTGAAGCAAAAAAAAGTAGAAGAAAGAAAAAACAAAGATGGAAAAGAAAGAAGGACAGGAGGGAAGGAGAGAAGGAGGGAGAGAGAAACTGTAAAGGAAAAACACATTTTCTTTCTCTCCTCCTTAAGCTCATGAGTCAAGGGGCTCTAATAAGAGATGGATTAACAAGAGAGTCACACACAAATTTATTTCATATAAACTCCATGTGAACGATAGAAGCCTTCTTTTAAAAAATCAAAGACTCAAAGGAGCTGTTAAGCTGGGGGCTTTTTGTATGAGGCTTGACAGTGGTGGTCATTGTGGAGAAATAGGGTAGGGAACAGGAGGTAAATACAGTATGCCCATGACTCCAGGCAAGCCTGTGTTTTCAGATTCTTGTCTATGTCCCTTGGTCCTCAGAAAGAAGGACACTTCTTTCCTTTGGGTGTGGGGAGGGCACCTCACTTGAAGATCTTACGACCTGCTTCAGGGAAAGGCAAGAACATCTTGGAGGTTTTACGATCTGCTTCAAAGGAGGACAGGGACAGGTCAGAGAAGCCTGCCAGCCACTTCTGATATTTTCTCAGTCCATGTGCCAAATGTCATTTTGGGGGCTCCCCTGTCCTAACTTCATCAAACTAGGTTACTGACAAGTTCCCCCAAGGCACAAAACCATGACAGAGCTGAAGTTTCAATCAGGAGAAAACTAAAAATCTAATGTTCTTACAGATAGTTGAGACTGCCCCTCAAGTAGGAGATGTGAATGATTGAAATAAAAGAGCTGAAGCCCCAGAAGGACATTTCTCAAAGCTGCTAAAGTGCTAGTTTCATGGAATTCAGTATATCGGCCAGCGTGGAGCAGCAGTGACAGTCCAGCAGCCACGAGCGCTGGGTCCACGGTTGTGGGGTCAGAGCGCTGCCTCTGTTTCTGCTTCTACAAAGTGGTCTGTTGTGGCAGCAGTCTTTGGTCCCTGTATCACCTAGCTCCACATCCTGACAGTGCCTACCTCTGGCGACTGCACCCTCTTCTGCCTCCTTCCCGGGGGCCTCTTTGGGCTCCTGAGGACTCTTTCTACACCAATCAGCATGCAACTCCTGAGTGTGTAGGAGTCACATCATGGAATGATGTCTACCACAGCTTCTCAGGGTGGGATGACGCTAGCATGGTTAAGCTGCGAAAAGCCATGGAGGAGGAGCACAAGCATCTGCTTGAGGCAACCGAGGTGACAGCATCAAGACAACAGTGATTACAAGAAGGGGTGTCGTAGGCTGGGCTCTGGGTAGGGAAGAGTTGAACCTGGACAAGCTTTTGTCGTAAACTTCCTGAACTTTTGCTTCTTTTGCATTTCTGTCTTCTGTAGAAAGAAATATTAAATGACTGTGAAAGCTCTCCCCACACAGGAGGTCTGGGAATTGGCTAGATCACTTTGAGGTAACATTTAATGAAGAGTGAAGAGGGGAACCTGAGAATCTGGTGAGATAAGAGGGCAGTGTGGCAGGAAGGGCACAGAGAGGGTGCAGGAAGGTGCGCTGAGGACGGCGTAAGGACAGCGTGTGTGAACGTCACCAGGCTCCTTGCAGGGAGGCAGCAGGACAGATCAGAGGCAGTGAGCCCCCGTCTCCCCGCAGAACCTTGGTCCTCTGCAGCAGCAACACCTGAGCAGAGCCTCTGGTGACCCTGAGGTGGGCACCTGGTGCTGGCTTGGGATTTGGGGAAGTCCCTGTCCCAACTCTTCTAATTCCTCTGTGAAGAGTCCCCTGCTGAAAAAGAACCAAAACATGGTCAGGCTGGGTTTACTGTGTAATTTCTTTCCCCCATCACTAAGTCAGAAGGAAGCAAGACCGGCGGACAGCTGGATTCATCTACGATTAGAGTTTTTCCAGGTACATGCAAATACTGAATTGGGATTTTACAGAAGCACATGGGAAGGAAGATGGTGGAGGAACAATTAGCAAAAGGCAAGTTCCTCAAAAGCCAATTCTGCAAATAGGGCAAAGAGTTTCCATTATGTAATGAGCAAACTTTTTTTTAAAAAACACCAAGCAGAAAGCAAAAGGGTTATATGGTGCTGAACAAATAGCTAGCACAACACAAATTATATTTACACTCAGAGTTTATTAATCTGACTCAGGTTGGTGGAAGGCTCCAAATGCCCCCTGCTGAGGCCGAGGCCCTTGGGATTCCAGAATGCATGGTTTCTCTCCTCTTCAAACTCTGGCATACAGAGAATCCTAGAGAAAGAAGCCCTTGCATAAACAAATGAGTCCACCTAGTGGAGAAGCCACATGTGAAGCTATCAAGCAGGATGAAAAATGGATGAGTTTTCCAGAACAGCCCCCTTGCAATGGGAATGAGGCAGACAGGGCTTATCAGGCTTATTCTGGAAAAGGCTTCGGATTTGGAAGCAGCCAACTGGGCATGGTATGTTCCTAGCCTCAACTCTGTTCAGCTCTCCCGCAAAGGCCTATGGGAAGTGAAGATCCCTTCCACAGGCACGGGTGGGGCCGGGATGATGGCAGGGGCTGCAGAGGAATGTCCTGCAAGAGGGATGACAATGGACGGTGGCCCACGGCCAGTCACTGTGCAGTGACTTCAAGAGCTGCTTCTGAGTTAGGTCCTCCAAGAAGAGCTGGCATTCAGTAGTCTGTGGCATGAAAACAACGAGGTGCCCGTCCTGGTGATGTTGGAGTATACTCAGAGCTGCTGACAGAGGCTGGGCTGCGCAGCCCTGCTGTGTATCCCATCAATAGACTTACCAACATTCATTTAGTAGGGGAGACTCCTTCTGACTTCTTTTTCAGTTGCTGCCACTGCCTGTGGACTCAAGGACAGTATTTACCACTGTGGGGACCCACGGTTCTATGTTGGGGCAGGAGCTGAGAGGAGAGGAGACCTTGTGACCGGCAGAATACAGAAGACTGGGTGACTGCTTCAGCTATTTGCTTGGCGTAACTGGTCAGTCACTGGCCAGGTCCCCATTGCTTTGCAATCCCAGCAGACAGTAAGCTATGTGGGTGCAGGTGAGCCGTCATGGAGCTGGAGGCCTGCGGACTCCTTGGGACGGGAGCAAGGCCAGCCCCAGACAGATGCAGTGCCGGAGGCAGACAGCATCAACAAGCTGACCTCTGGCTCAGTGGTGTATCGACAGGTGTCTGGCCTTCGTGGTCCTCCCAGCTAGTTACAGTTCAGAGAGTTCTGAGGATGTTTTGCTTTCAGTGTTCTCAGCAAAACCCTGGGATTGTGCTTTTGGTCCCTTCACAGGCTTTCCTCCTTTTTACTATGTATAAATAAAGATGCAAACTTGCTGGGCTGTCGCTTCCTGTCCAGCAGAGGTCGGGTACCACTCAGCTTCTCTGTGTGTCTTGTGTCTTCTGAATCTCCAGTCACCCGCTCTCAGGGCTCTGCCAGCCACGCAGACCATGGCAGGGACAGATTCCTTACTTGTGCTTGTGTTCATCTGAACACTGGCTTAGGATTTCCACGTGCCACTCGCTGGGCTAGAGGAGAGGCGGGGACCTGACTAGAGACAAGGCCCTTATTAAAGAGCGTCCAGGGTCTACTCACTTGTTTCTGAGCCCGACAGCACTTACTCTACATCACTTCTGAGACTTTTCTGAGTATCTTTCCCTTTAATCCATAGTTATTTACTTAAAGATTGTCTTATTTTAGGCTTCTGGCCATGTTTTCCAAAATGACTGTGGTGAGCATATTTGACATGGAGATGTGTTTTTCTCTTTCCCTCAGAGAGAAAAAAAAATTAAGTAGAATTAGTTACTGTAGATAAAATTTAGAGGTCTTCACATAAAAGTTCAGAGGCCTGGCTTTTAAAATATCTGTAACACTGGCTTCCTTTCAGACCAAGCATGAGTTTCCGAGCTCACCTGTACTAATTAGCCTCCTATAACTTGCATAAGTGTATGGAATTCATTTATAAAAGAGAAAAGTGTATTGCGGATTCACTGTTTTAGTGTGTGGTCTATGGACGGCTGGGCCCATTGCTTCTAGGGTGTGGTAACATGGTGCAGCCTGGTGGGGACACATAGTGGGGGAAGCTGCTCGCCACAGCAGCCAGGAGGCTAAGGAGGAGATAAGAAAGGACCCAGGGCCCCAAAGTGCCCTTAAGGTGACACCCCACTGACCAGAAACCACCCACTGTGCCTCACCTCATAATGCTCTAACCTCCTTCCAATGATGACACAGGGTAGGCATCAATGGTTTCATGTTTGGGGATGCACCCAAACCATAAGGACACTCTCTTTCCACCTAATGGCTTTGCCCGTTGGCCCTGGAATGCTTGAGACTGGACAGGAAGATATGATAGCAGAGTAAGTGTGAATAGGTGGGTACTTGGATGACTCGGTGGTAGTTGGGAAGAAAAGAGAAGAGAAAGAGATGAGAGAGACAATGGAAGGAAGAAATTCCAAGAGTGAGTGAAGAATCAGTCATGACTCGACAGGAATAGGAGTTAGGACCCTGAGCGGTCAGGGGGGCAATGGTGTTGCAGCCAGGTGCCCTTTACCAGGTGCTGCAAACACTTGCTATCTGCTTAGAGCCTTAGCTGGCAATAGCTCTTGGTGGCCCCTTCTCCAGAAAACTATCCACTGAAAGAATGGGAGAAAAAACATGAGACAAGTGACGCACAGCATCTTCTGTGGAGGGATAGCCAGCCACCTACAATTAGTGGTTAATTTTCATGGAAATGCAAAAGGCAATATATCTTGTCTCAAGGTGGGGTTAGCTCAGGTGTACGGCTCCAGCTTCACAGATGCCCAGAGGATCAGGCTGCAGCAAGACTCCTGTGTAGCTTGCAGCCTCATTTACCTCCTTCTACTGCCCTACCCTGCTGACCTAATTCCTTCTACTGAGCGCATTCTCCCACTAAATTATATTCTTCTTGGAAGCTCAGTCTCATTGTTATAGCAGAACTGGACAGTTGAAAACTCGAGCAAGGGCTCATAGTTGGGTGATAGGGCTTGGGAGTTCCTCCTAATAGGGTTCCTGTCATGTTCATGGTTTTGTATCCAGCTCTGCAGCACAGGACCTGGCCAACATGAAGTGCACAGTGAACTTTATTTCCTCTGTCAAATGAATTTGCTTTGCAGTCTGTTGAGCTTGAGAAGACAGCAAGACATGAAACATGGACCCAGTAAATGTTTGTGACTAGAAGTTTATATATTTTACAGGAAAGGAAGCAGTTCAGAGAGGAGGCAGTAATTAGTGTCAAGTGCAATAAAACCTTAATTCTTTTCAATGTAAGGCAGCCAACATTTGTCTTTGCCTCAATTAGGTATATAACTGTAATTACTCTAAATCAATGAGTTACGATCCTTTAGTAATGTTTAAGCAAAATTCCAATTAGTTTTTTTCACTGCTAGTACAAATGTCCAGTGTGAAAGAAGATTAACATTTGGTTGGAGAGGTCTTTTTGGATTTTGTCATCTGTGTCTTGTTGTTAAATGACTAAATGAACCACCTGAGTGAGAGCTCTTAGAATAAAGAAGCATGCAAAATACATAAATCAAGTTTTAATTGTACTTACACAGGAGAGATTTGTGTTCATTTCTTTTCATTAAATTGATTCTATTTTTTAAAAACCAGACACGAGCATTCAGGTATTCTAAAGGTTGCATTATTTATCTTTTCAGATACACCTTCCTGTTATCCCAAGGAAGGTAATTTTGAATGTTTTAAACCTTGGTTGTCTAATTTCATCTCATAAACTATAATTATACCTCTTTATAAATTGCTAAATAATTCCTCCCCCACTAGATATTTATACTTTTCAAATATTTATGGGCTGTCATTGTTCTTTAGTCATATCTTCACAAAGCTCCGCATGTTTTGTTCTTATAATATTTTTCATAAATCAATTTCCTTACTACCGGGCTTCTTTTCTTAGCTCTTTACTCAATTTATCTCCATCTTTTGACACAGTGCTAATGAAAGTAAATGAGATATTTCAAGCACAGTTTATCCCAAGCTTCTTCAAAGCATTTACAGTTGCCTCATCCTGGTTAGAATTTCTCATTTATATGTATCCCAGAATAGTGCTGAATTTATTGGTGTTTTTGCCATTTTACTTTGAAAACTCAGAACTAATTTTCCATGTAATGGCATTTAAAAACCTCTGTGCCATTCCCGTTTCTTCATTGATCATGGAATATGTAAGAATTAGATGATTTCAGAGTGCATTTCTGTAATTTGTTTCTTATTGTGCAATAT